GCTTTGCGGCCAACATCACCGGTGAGGCAGATGTCGTGCGCATCGACTCAATCCATGCAGAAAACATACTGCACGACTGGAGAGACATCGCGTGTGGTTTCGAGTCCGATTTCTGCGCTTGGTCCACCAGTGCGAGCACGTGGCTGCGACATTCAGGGGCTACTCCTAGCTCAGACACCGGACCGGACGAAGCTGGCAAAGGCGAGTGGTACATTTACACGGAAGCCAGTAACAATGAGAACCAGGCAGGACCACTTCACAAAACAAAGCATCAGGCACGATAATAGGTCTTCACATGTCTTCACGAGTCCGTGTGCAGGAGTTTATCCTCACCAGTGGCGTGTTCGACCCATCACCTACAAGCCGGCTCCTCCATTTCTTCTACCACATGTTTGGGGAGGACACAGGCAGCTTGCGAATGGAGACGTTGAGAAGCAGCGGCTGGACACAAGCTTGGTCACGAATCGGAGAGCAAGGGATGCAATGGGGCGCAGCATTGGTGACGCTGCCGCAGGATGCGAGGGCTGTGCGCTTCGTAGGCACCACGGGCAACAGCTGGCAGAGCGACATGGCCGTAGATGGCATAGCAGAAGGGCTGCCCACAGTTCTGTTCCGCCAGTTGTCCTGCGACTTCCGTTTTGACACCTGCCTTTGGCGAAGCAATGGCAGCTCTTCATGGCAGCTTGTGGGTGATGCGAATGGCCAGTGGCTGGAGGCTTCTCGAAGCGGTTCCCAAGCACCGGAATGGATTTTCGAAACGGCGGCTCTGCTGAACACCACTGGAGAGAAGGCATTGGTTTTCGACTATCAGCTGTCCGGCTCAAGTACCGTGGCATTGGAGGTACAACACCAGACCTCCGCTAACGGCTGGCAGCGTTTGCAGTTCGAGTCGGGTGGGCGCAGCGCTGTTTGGCACACCGCCATCGTCGCCGTCCCTCCTTCTACTCTTGGCCTCCGCTTTGCGGCCAACATCACCGGTGAGGCAGATGTCGTGCGCATCGACTCTCTCCATGCAGAAAACATACTGCACGACTGGAGAGACATCGCGTGTGGTTTCGAGTCCGATTTCTGCGCTTGGTCCACCAGTGCGAGCACGTGGCTGCGACATTCAGGGGCTACTCTTAGCCCAGACACCGGACCGGACGAGGCTGGGGAAGGCGAGTGGTACATTTACACGGAAGCTAGTGACAATGAGAACCAGGCAGGACCACGTCACAAAACAAAGCATCAGGCACGATAGTAGGTCTTCACGAGTCCGTGTGCAGGAGTTTATCCTCACCAGTGGCGTGTTCGACCCATCACCTACAAGCCGGCTCCTCCATTTCTTCTACCACATGTTTGGGGAGGACACAGGCAGCTTGCGAATGGAGACGTTGAGAAGCAGCGGCTGGACCCAAGCTTGGACACGAATCGGAGAGCAAGGGATGCAATGGGGCGCAGCATTGGTGATGTTGCCGCAGGATGCGAGGGCTGTGCGCTTTGTAGCCACCACAGGCAACAGCTGGCAGGGCGACATGGCCGTAGATAGCATAGCAGAAGGGCTGCCCACAGTTCAGTTCCGCCAGTTGTCCTGCGACTTCCGTTTTGACACCTGCCTTTGGCGAAGCAATGGCAGCTCTTCATGGCAGCTTGTGGGTGATGCGAATGGCCAGTGGCTGGAGGCTTCTCGAAGCGGTTCCCAAGCACCGGAATGGATCTTCGAAACGGCGGCTCTGCTGAACACCACTGAGGAGAGAGTCTTGGTTTTCAACTATCAGCTGTCCGGCTCGAATACCGTTACGTTGGAGGTGCAGCACCAAACCTCTGCTTTCGGCTGGCAGCGCTTGCTGTTGCAGTCAGGTGGCCGCAGCGCTGTTTGGAACGGCGCCGTTGTCATCATCCCTTCTTCTACTCTTGGCCTCCGCTTCGTGGCCAACATCACCGGTGAGGCAGATGTCGTGCGTATCGACTCAATCAATGCGTCGAACGTTCTGCGCGACTGGAGCGACATCGCCTGTGGTTTCGAGTCCGATTTCTGCGCTTGGTCCACCAGTGCGAGCACGTGGCTGCGACATTCAGGGGCTACTCCTAGCTCAGACACCGGACCGGACGAGGCTGGGGAAGGCGAGTGGTACATTTACACGGAAGCTAGTGACAATGAGAACCAGGCAGGACCACGTCACAAAACAAAGCATCAGGCACGATAGTAGGTCTTCACGAGTCCGTGTGCAGGAGTTTATCCTCACCAGTGGCGTGTTCGACCCATCGCCTACAAGCCGGCTCCTCCATTTCTTCTACCACATGTTTGGGGATGACACAGGCAGCTTGCGAATGGAGACGTTGAGAAGCAGCGGCTGGACCCAAGCTTGGTCACGAATCGGAGAGCAAGGGATGCAATGGGGCGCAGCATTGGTGATGTTGCCGCAGGATGCGAGGGCTGTGCGCTTTGTAGCCACCACGGGCAACAGCTGGCAGGGCGACATGGCCGTAGATGGCATAGCAGAAGGGCTGCCCACAGTTCAGTTCCGCCAGTTGTCCTGCGACTTCCGTTTTGACACCTGCCTTTGGCGAAGCAATGGCAGCTCTTCATGGCAGCTTGTGGGTGATGCGAACGGCCAGTGGCTGGAGGCTTCTGGGAACAGTTTGCAATCTTGGGAACGGGTCTTGGAGACTGCGGCCATGCTCAACGCCACTGAGGAGAAGATCTTGGTGTTCGACTATCAGCTGTCCGGCTCGGATGCCGTGGCATTGGAGGTGCAACACCGAACTTCCGCTGATGGCTGGCAGCGCTTGCAGTTCGAGTCGGGTGGCCGAAGCGATGCTTGGCATACTGGTGCAGTTACAGTGCCTGTTGGCAGTGTCGGCTTCCGCTTCGTGGCCAATGTCACCGGTGATCTTGACCGGGTGAAGCTGGATTCCTTGTCGGCGGTCGACGCAACTCTGGCGGATGCGAGGTGCAGCTTCGAGCAGGACACCTGCAAGTGGGCAGGGGACTGGCAGCGCGTCAGCGGCCCCTCCCAAAGTCCTTTAGCCTCCATGCCTGATGCAGCATTCCACGCCGAGAGCTACGTCTACGTCACCCCCCTCGAGAACGAGGCAGGGGGAAAATTCTGCCAACTCTCCGATTCGCCAGAATTTTCCCGATCTGCCATGGGCTCCTGCAGGTATACGTGCTCACCAGCCCGCTCTTCCCCAGGCCCGGCAACGTCTCCTACCTGGAGTTCGCTTTCTACATGTTTGGGACTGGCGTCGGCAAGCTGGAGTTATGGTACCTGAAAGGTGTCCGGTGGAGCTTGCGCTGGTCCCGGCAATCAAACCAAGGAGCCGAGTGGCTTCAAGCCAAGGTGAGGCTCCCAAGTGGCGTGGAAGGGCTCCGTTTCTTGAAGTTTGGTGGCTGGGGAACTTCGTCCAAAGTAGCTTTGGACGGAATCCTGGCCTGGGAGGGGCCCGAAGCAAACCCGGCAGAGTTCCTGAGCCTTTCTTCTGGTGGCTACCACAACTGTGCAGTTCTCAAGGCCCAGGGCGTCCTGAAGTGCTGGGGAGCTGGATTTCACGGCCGCTTGGGTTACGGCAGCGGTGCAGATGTGGGCGGCGCTTCGGGTGAGATGGGGGAGAACCTACCGGCCGTGGAACTCGGAGAGGCGGGCGTTCGAGTGACGAAAGTGGCCTGCGGTCAATGGCACACCTGCGCAGTTCTCGAAACGGGCGTCCTGAAATGCTTCGGGAGTGGCAGTGATGGCAAGCTTGGCTACGGACACACCCGCGATGTTGGCGACGAGCCCTTGGAGATGGGCCAGCACCTGCCAGCGGTGGACCTGGGCACCGGTGCGGAGGTGGTGCAGGTGGCTGCTGGTATCGACCACACCTGCGCTCTGCTTCGAGGCGGGCGCGTGAAGTGCTTTGGCCAGGGACGTCTGCTGGGCTTGGGAGACGAGCCCGGGCCCCAGAGGTTCTATCTGCCACTTCACTGACATGGCATGGTGCTTGAGTGTGCGCAACACACGTGAGGGAGAACCGTGGCGACGAGCCCGGCGAGATGGGCTCGAACCTCACCGCGGTTGACCTGGGCACCGACTTCGAAGCAGTGCAGCTGGCCTTGGGATATGCCCACAGCTGTGCTCTCTCAAGCCAAGGTGCCGTCAAATGTTGGGGACAGGGCAACCGCCTGGGACTAGGACTGGGCGATGGTGGAGTGTACATCGGAACCAGCCCCAACGAGATGGGCGATGCCTTACCTGTAGTGGACTTGGGCCCCCTTCCTGCTGTGCAAATCGCAGCCGGGTATCTTCACACCTGCGCCGCCGCTTGCCCGCATCCAGTGCATTGGACTCGTTCTATCGTGTTGTGCACGTGCCTGTGCCAGGTCCTGTCCGACGGCACGGTAAAGTGCTGGGGTGATAATGGCTGGGGTCAACTGGGGCACGGCAACCTTGAAGATGCGGGCGACCAGCCCGGTGAGATGGGCACCAGTCTTCCTATTACAGATATGGGCGATGGGGTGACGGTTGTCCGCATCGCGGCTTCGAGTGGCAGTTATCACACCTGTGCTGTCCTTCAAGATGCAAACCTGAAGTGCTGGGGCTGGGGAGGGAGTGGCTTGCCTGGGCCTCAGTACCGGGAAGACACGGGCGCTTTTGAAACAGCTTGTCAAGAACTACAGAGCAGCCCACACTAGTTGAGGCTTGGCCAGGGCAACCTGGAGAGCTTGGGAGACGAGCCCTACGAGATGGGCTCCAATCTCCGCGCTGTCGGCCTCGGCAACCGCGAGGTGCGGGATGTGGGCACCGGTGTCGGCCACACCTGCGTGCTCTTGAGCGACGACACCACGAGGTGCCTGCGATCTGCAACAGTTGTAACAGCAGGTGCGCCCAAAACCCTAAACCCTAAACTACCCAAAACCCTAAACCCTAAACTACCCTAAACCCTAAACTACCCTAAACCCTAAACTACCTTAAACCCTAAACCCTAAACTACCCTAAACCCTAAACCCTAAACCCAGGTGTTGGGGCGAGGGCCGAGTCGGGCAGCTGGGCATTGGCAGCAGACTGAGCGTCGGTCAGGTGGAGGATCATGGGACTTAGTAAGTAGGGTTATAGGGGCCCCTTTTAAGGGATCTATAGGGGTGCTATAAGGGTTTAGGGTTTAGGGTCTACTTGGAGGATCATGGGACTTAGTAATTGGGGTTATAAGTACCTTAATTGGGGTTAGGTTATAAGTAATTTTAACGCTACGCCGCCCGCCTCGGCTGTGTAGCGGCAGGGCGAGGGGGCAGTCGATGTTTTTTATGCTAGGGCGGCCTGTCAAACCCCAACCTTTGCACGCTTGTTGATACGAAGTGCGAGGAGAACGGGTACAAGGGGGGTGGGGGGGAGGGGGGGGTGAAACCATAAACCTCTAAAGGGGTAGCTCTAACAGGTACCTACAGCAATGGCTGCATGCTCATACATATACATTCCGCTGCCCATTGGCTCACAGTGGTTTTACCATATTGAGACAAGACAAGCTCTCCTTGCGTAGCAAGACAAAACAACTACTGTCCGTGTGCAGGGCGCTGCCCTTTGATCCTTAGGGAATAACTGGTCATACACCTCCTCACAAGGAGTATCCCTTGGGGGTGTATCGGCACAGTTTTCTGGTAGCGGAGCCCGGAAAGGGCCGCCCGCCTCACAAAGTCCGCTACAGCGGTCGGCCTCGCCGAACGCTTAACCAAGCGGATAAGAGGCAGCACAATGTCGAGCTCGCATAGCGAAGCCGACGGCAGTTCCCAATCCTCCGGGGGATATGAGAACGAAGAGACCTCCCAAGGTCCAGCTACTTATGTCGCACAGTCATATGCAACATCTGACCGCATGCTTGCATCATTAGGCATAACGCCCAAGATCGCGCCTGCCTATGATGGCACCACCTCGTGGTTTGAGTATGAACAGTTGATTGACGACTGGTGCGACATAACAACGCTGGATGACACCAAAAGAGGTCCGTCTCTCAAGACGAGGCTCTCCGGATTGGCCGCAGTACAAAAAGAATCACTTAACCGAGAAAGGCTTGCAGCCCCAGATGGAGTAGATTACTTCAAGAAGAAGATGCGTCCATTTTTCGTGAAAGGAGAACAGTACGTTTTCCTGTGGCGTTTCCTCGGCCTATTCAAGGCATGGAAGGGCAACCAAGACTTTGTGACTTGGATTGCTAAGTTTGAGATCGTGCTACAGCGCGTGAAAAACTCATGGATGGATCTCTTACCAGAGATAGCTCTGGAAGATGCCCATCCAGATTTCATGCAGGCTGTGCAGGCAGATCAAACCTTCTTGCGCCTACAGGATGCAACCGAGAGAGACACATACGCCGCACGTTTCTTCGAAACATGGAACAAGGAACGCCTTGATAATCATCGAAGAGCGTTTCCTCTAAATGATAATCTCCTAGCTCTCCTCTTCCTAGTGCAGTCCGACCTAAATGAGATGCAACGTGAGAGGTTGGTAACAGCATTGACCAACCAAGGTCACCGAATTGAGACCTATACGTACCCTGTGGTACGGCAGACCATGTTCGATCAGTTCTCAACGACCAGAACTGGTCTGCAGGATCCCAACATTCGGCACTCTTCTCACAAGAAGGACCGCCATGGAAGGAGAGATCAACGCCGCAAACGCGGAGGTCGAAACTTCCTCATCCTCGATCAGGGTGAATACGACGGAGTCGATGGATTCTGGCTCCAAGACGAAGACACCCTTGAGGAAGGCTTTCTTGCCGCCGAGGATGAAGAAGCTGTCTTCTGGACAGTTGACGACCATGAAGCCTTCGTTGCAAGGAGATTCAAAAAGGGAAGAAGACCAAGAATGCGTCCCGGATCACCGGGAAGAGCAAAGGGTGGCAAGCGAAAAGGACGTGGCCGTTTTAGGTCATACCGCGGAAAAGGGAGAGCCAACCAGGCAGAACATGATCCAACTGATTCCAGCTATTTCGGTAAAGGTAAAGGAAAGGAAAAAGGAAAAGGTGGAAAAGGCAAAGGAAAAGGAAAGGACAAAGGAGATAAAGGAAGCTCCTTCAAAGGTACAAAGGCAAAAGGCAAAGGTAAGGATACAGCTAAGTCTGCCTCCTTACAAGGAGACCAAACTGGATCTCCACAGGCCTATGAAAGTTCCACCGCACCGAGCTGGGATTCATGGTATGAGGACAGTTATTATACTGACTCCAGTTGGAATTATGCCGCTTATGACGATCAAACGTCTTATACATACTATGCATCACAAGCCTCACGAAGAAAGACACGGAAAAAGAAGAGAAGAAATCAAGCAGGATCATCAGGTAGAGGCACAGATCCGAGCGCGCACCAAGAACCCGTGTACAACTCATCAGTGAGTTACGTGCCCCAGGTCTCTGAACCATCCGAGGGGCAAGGTGTGGAGACTGCAACAGCAGTGTTTCCGTTGCAGCACACCGTCCTATCTGCTCTCACAGAGCGGATCAATCTTGATAAGAGCCCTACCTTTGTCATACTTGACTCTGGTTGTACTAGGGCTATGGGTTCCCGCTATGCGGTGAACAGGCTTATCAAGGCCGTGAAGCAACATGCCCCAGGCATGATTGATTTCACTTTTTCACCTTCGAACACGAAGTTCTCTTTCGCAGATAGTGAAACAGCTCTTATCAAGGAGCGTGTAACTCTATGGTTCAACACAACTCCAAGAAGAGATACAACCATAGAAGTTCTGGATCAGGGGAGAGTTCCCATTTTGTTCTCCATTGAACAGATGAGAAATCTAAGAATGACCCTCGAGTGTAGTCCCACAGCTGACCTAGCAACGTGTGAAGCTTTCGGTTTGTATAAAACCCCTCTTCCGATTAGTACCAATAACCATTTGGTATTGGACCTTCTAGGCTTTACTTCCACCAGGAAGTATCTCCCTAAGTCAGGTACGTCGTTCAGTGCGACGGAGACTGCTCTAGGAGCCAATAAGCCTTATACTAGGATACCGGAAGGTCGCTGTCCAGCCTGTGCCGGACAGAAAAGGGCTCACACGTACCTTAAGGGTTGTGACAAAGCACCTGAGGGAGCAGCTGATCCACCACCGAAGAGGATTTCAGGTAAAAAGAAGCCTCTTCCATCTGATCCGGCAGAATCATCTGCCAAGAAACTTGATCCACCAGAATCATCTGGTGATGTTCCTGAGCCTTCTGGACCATCGGAACCATCATCAGGCTCTAGGGACAAACCTGCAGAATCCTCTGCACCACATGAACCTCCAGAAGAAGAAAGACTTGAGGTTCCACCTGCGAAGATAAAGACTCCAAAGGGTCTTAAAAACCTTCTGAAGAAATCCCGCAAATATGCGGTTAAATCTCCTGTTGAAGAGAAGTCTAAGGTCCCAGGAGCTGATGACGGGACGGAGGTAAGACCACTTGAGTCAAGAGAATACCCGGCTCCTGGTACAGACTCACCTACAGGTGAAGAGATTGTCGCAGAACCATCGCCATCTCTTCCCATTGCTCTTCGCAGGATTCATGAGAAGCTTAAGGACCCTGTAGAACTCTATAAGCTTCACCTTAAGCACCGTCATATGAGTACGGATCAGTTCAAGCGACGCACAAAAGCCTTACAGATCCCAAAGGAGATCTACGAGCTATATGACCAACTGGTCAAAAAGTGTTCAGCCTGCCAGGAACATGTGAGAGCTCCTTCGAGAGCGAAGATTTCTGGTTTAAGATCAGAGACTTTCGGTGATCTCACCTTCGTAGATCACGGTGAGCTTCCAATTCCCGGCAAGGATAGTCGCTTAGTATTTCTTATTCTCTATGATGGAGCAACAAACTTGTTGACTGCCGAAGTAGTCCAGGATAAAGAAGAACATACTACAATGTCGATTATGAATGACTACTTTGAGAAATTTCAGATCAACCCAAAGGTTGTAGTTGGAGATCAAGCATTCATGACTCCAAAAATGGAGGCTTATTACAATCGGCAGAATATCAAGCCTGTGGCAACAGGACCTGGAACACCATGGCCCAACAGGGCCGAAGCTGCTGTAAGATTGCTGAAGCATCAGATTAAGCTCATACTTCAGATCCTGAAGGATGGTGACCCGCAGTATAACGGAATCACCATGAAGTATGGCAACCTCGTTCGCCAAGCATGTTTGGCAAGAAACTCTTCGATTACCTACGGAGGAGTTACTCCTTTAGAAATGGCCTTTGGAAGGCGTCCTCGAGATGTTATAACACCAGAGAACGCTGATCCCAATCAGTTGACAGGTAATCCAACTGATACGGAAGTCACTGCGAGAGCCATTAAGGAGCTTGCCAACAGGGCTTACCAAGAGGCACGCCAATCTGATGATCTGCGTAGAGATCTTGCAGCCAGACTGTCAATGACCCAAGGACCTTTCTCTTTGGGAGATAAGGTTTTCTACTGGTCAGAAGATAAGTCTAAGATTGGATCCACTGGGTCCAAACATGGATCTTGGCTAAAAGGAAAGGTGATCTCCGAACTCGGAGGATCCATGGTAGGTGTGGATCTTGGAACACGCATCGTCCGCGTCAATATCTCAAAACTGAGGAAAAATTATGACATAACATCTGATGTGGAGATTCCTCTCGCGCCTGATGAGGAAACTCTGACGTCAGAAGGTTCTGACCACGCAAGTTGCATGGTCACCTTCGATGCTTCCCTGCAGTCGACAGACCTAACGATTCCACATCAAGAGTGTCACTGGCAGGTCACCAGCACTGGGAAGATTGACTTCCTAGAACTCTACGGCGGATCTCCCCGCATGAGTCACAAAGCTGCCCTGTCAGGTCTTCGAGTAGGTCAGCCAGTCGATTTGCGTAGCGGTCTAGATCTTGAGCAACCGCAAGGTCGCTCCAATCTTCTTAGGATCATCAAGGAACAAGAACCTACTATTATTGTTATGTCACCGGACCATTCTCAGTGGTCTAGCTGGTACTCACAGTGGAAGAAAGGCTCTGCCAAGAGACTTTCTGTTTTAAAATTCTGTGAATCGGTCGCAGACCACCAAATGAAGCTCGGACGTTACTTTGTTCTTGAGAACCCATACTACAGCAG